ATTCCTACATCACATCCCCAGATACACTAAATATAAATTCCGTGCCACTAAAATTTGAGAATGTTGCTGTTACCATAACAATTCATTAACAAAGGACAATAAAATCCTCTTCTCCTAGATGGGAAACCACTAGACTAAGGAATGGATTAAAAAGTCAAGGAGAACATAGAAAGGTCAGCTGAAACGATGTTGACCCCAGTCATGACCCTTTGACATCTCTTCCTGCTGTAAAAGCATGCATCTTAGAAACCATGACTCCCTGTGGCTAAATGAAACATTTAGGATCTAGCTACTCCCTTCTCATTCACTGCAAAGGTAGTACGCCAGTTGAAGACTGGAAAGCACGGGTAAGGAATCTTGGCTGCCTCCACACAAGGAGCCCTCTGGGTGGCAAGCACCAAGGGCCACAGCCAAGGCAGCCTGGAAACTGTTGTGCTGGATATGAGTTTCCCCCTTACACATTAAATGCAGTCATGCTCCCCACCAATAAATCTTCTTCAATAGTAACAACAATCACACTATCCAATCTTTTATTCCCCAGTCTCCAGAGAAATTGGAACGACCTCTCAACCCCCTTGACTCACAACAGTCTCATTTTCTGGGGGACGAGACAGAGAGCTTATGGAGCAGCTAGAAGGTGTGAACAGAATACAAACGCCTTTATGCTGAGCTCATCAGAGAAGCAGTAGGTTACAGTACACGAGAAGAAATGCTCACGAATCTTCTCTGGGACTTGGCATTGGCCATCTCACTCATCCTGAAACTAGTAGGAAATTTCTTGTTACTAGAGAACGTTCATGAAAGCACTTGTCCATGCTTGATACAAATAAAACAAAAAAAGTTATCTCACATCCCAAATCATTCTCTACTTAAACCTACTTTTCTATCCAAAGTCTGACTATATTTCACTAGCATTTGGGGAAGAGTGGGCAAGGTGGAGATGTGGCAGCTGGTGAGTCAACATAGGCAGAGCCAAAGTACCTAGAACGTTCTGGGCCATGGCAAATATCTACATTGATATTTTAAATGCAGTGGGGGTGTAAGGAGAAGTTGGAAACTTATGTATATATTTTTAAAGATTTTATTTATTTACTTTTTAGAGAGGGGAAGGGAGGAAGAAAGTGAGGTTAAGAAATATCAATGTGTGGTTGCCTCTCCAGAGCCCCACACTGGGGACCTGGCCCCACAACCCAGGCATGTGCCCTGACTGGGAATCAAACCAGTGACCCCTTGATTCTCAGGTAGGCACTCAATCCACTGAGCCACACCAGCCAGGGCCTTATGCATATTTTTCACAAATTATCCTGGTTGCTTTGTGGCAACAATGAAAGCAAGGAGAGCCCTGGGACAGTGCTAGTGAAACCATGGTCTTGGGGTGAGTGCTGGCCAGCAAAAGGTTTACAATCTGCATCAACGTAAGTGTAGAAATTGACAATAAATGTTTAGAAACTTTAAAACCTATGAAAGTAATTTGATACTGTTGCAATATCCAACCAGGAGTTTGTATGTATTTACAAACACAGTAGGTCTCCTTGGACTGAAGGAAAAAAAGAAAACCAAAACCTAACTGGTCCTGTATTACCACGGATTGTTTGAGACACCATCGCAATAATGCAGGCCAGGGGTGATGGGGCAGATGAGGCACAGAAGGGATGAAGCATTTCACCCTCCCAGTATCACAGAGGATGGAGAGAGGAATCTAGATAAGGAGATTGGTGTGCACAGTGATACCTCTACCTCTGCTGACCTGCACTAGACTCAGTTACTTACCAACGCTCTAAAAAGTGGCAGCCAACAACAACTGCTTCACTCCTGAGGAGAATAATACAAGTGGCATAACTGTTAAGAGCTCAGAGAGTAGAATGAAGCTATTGTGTGTCTGAATCCTGGTTTCACCAAACATTGTGTGTGACCTTGGACAAGTTACTTAACCTCTCTAGCCCTCAGTTACCTCATCTGTATAATGGGAATAATGATGGCCTCTACCCATAAAGTGTCCATGAAGGTAAATTGAGAAGAACCCTGAAAAGAAGTGACACCGATAGTTGTTCCTGCACCTTTCTGTGAAGAATGAGCTTTAAAGCATGATCGTAGTTCCATAATCCCTCACCTCCATGGAGCACACGACAGTTTACGAAGCCCCGTCACATACTTTACTTCAATAATCCTCCCTTACAAGTAGGAACAGACGGGTCCAATTTTCTGATGAGGAAAATGTGTATACGGAAGTTCCCAAACTTGTCCCAGGAGTATGAGATTTTGATTCATCTGTCTGCTGCCTCCATTGCAAACTAACTGCTCAAGAAGTCATAGAAGCAGTAAGAAAAAAAACAAAATCACCCTGCCCTTCCACAGCCTGTCCTTGTGCCCTTAGTGCACACAGACTGAGGGCTGAGCAGGGAAATAAGCCATGCCGCAGACTGGGAGACCGGGCATCAGTTCTCCTCAGTATCTGCTTAAAGGCCCAGTGCTTCCAGGACTGTGACCCAGTGCCTCCCATTCTTCCTCAACACCACCTCTTCTCCCCCTTGGTACCCTAGCTCCCCTGGCATTTATGTTCAAGGGTCAGTTGTGCCCTGATTTTTGGTGTAAGCATTTTTTTTATGATTTTTCTTCTTCTCTAATGTGTGTAGTATTACTAAATTTTCATTATTTATTAAAAACACTGGGACCCTAAACTGTCCTAAATGTGCTTCTTAATACCATATATCTCTGTATTTTGCCATTTCCTCTCTTTCTTTAAAAGTTTTCAATAACCACCAGTCTGAATTACGCCTGGCATGCAGGGAGAGGGAAAGCAACAATAAAATAATTAGAGAAAAACTCCCTGAACTAAAAAAAATGTTGAGTCTTTAAATTGAAAGACACATTAAAAGACAATAAAATGTTTTTTAAGAAATAAGAATCCATACCTATACATATCAAAGTGAAATTCAAAACCTTATTTTTCTTATATTTAAAATGTAGGAATAACAATTTAATGTAAGGCTATTTGGATCTAAGGGATGTCTTATATTTTTATTTCTTAACAGTTTATTTTATTCTAAATTAAAATTATTTCATTATTGGTGATATGGAATACTTCCCCAAATTTTCTTTTACTATTGTAGTTCACAAGAGATAATATTAATCATAATAACAGCCAACACTTATAAAATACTAGCCAGGTTCAAGGCATAGTACATGTTATTAAAGCCCCACAACCATCCCCTTTATAGAAATGACTGAGAAGTAATTTTCTGTGAAGCAGGTCATTAGTAAATGCCTGCAGGTGTGTCTGAGAGGACAGGAGAGAGGCAGCCTGTGGGCTCAGGCTCTGAACCCAGAAAAACCCACACCAGAGGCCATACTCTTGTCAATATCTCATGCTACTTTTATGTAGTATATTTACATCATCCTAACACCCCTCTAATCCTATAGTTGTCTCATTTTAAAGATTAATCACAGGCTATTTTCTAAGCCCTTGCACCACAGTTTCATAGATTTATAAGGTTAAAAGGAACATATAGAAACATTCATTCCACTTTCTATAAGTAAGACATATGTTTATTTTTTCATTTTAAATCATTATTTTTTTAATTACAGCTGACATAAATTATTATATTAGTTTCAGATAGTACACTGCGGTGATTAGACATTCTAGAACTTACTAACAATCACCCTGATAAATCTCACACCCATCTGATACCACACACAGTTATTAAAATGGTATGATCTATTTCCCATGCTATACATCTACCATTTAGAATCTGAAATCGATTTCACTATATACAGAGCCTCCCTTCGATCAAGAAAACAGTCTAAAATGAATCTGTATCTACCAGTCTGTCTCTAATCCAGTATTTTGATTTTTAGGTTCATTTGTTGATAGATAGGTACTTACTGACATTTTATTGTCCTAGGTTGTAGGGTCCTTGCCTTTCATCACTTTGAATATTTCTTGCTAATTCCTTCTTACCTGAAAAGTCTCTGTTGAGAAGTTGGTTGACAGTCTTATGCGAGCTCCCTTGTAGTTAACTAATTGCTTTTCTCTTGCTGCTTTTAAAATTTCTCCTTGTCTTTGATCTTTCAAATTTTCATTATGATGTGTCTGTGTGTGGAACTCTATGGGTTTACCTTGTTTGGGACTCTCTGCACTTCCTGGACTTGTATGTCTATTTCCTTCACCAAGTTAGGGAAGTTTTCTGTCATTATTTTTTCAAATAAACTTCCAAATTCTTGCTGTCTCTCTTGCCCTTCTGATACCCCCGTGATGCAAATGCTGGACCTCTTGAATTTGTCCTAGAGGCTGCTTACACTATCCTTACTTCTTGGGATTCTTTTTTCTTCTTGCTGTTCTGACTTGGTGTTTTTTGCTTCCTTATATTCCAAATTATTGATTTGATTCTCAGCTTCATCTACTCTATTTTTTATTCCTTATATTCTTTTGAAATAAAAGATACAAGTTATCCTTTATTTCAGTTAGTGTATCCTTCATTTCTGACTGGTCCCTTTTTATGCTGTTGAAGTTCTCACTAAGTTCATTGAGTATGTTTATAACCAGTGTTTTGATCTCTGCACCTAGTAGATTGCTAGTCTCCATTTTGTTTAGTTCTTTTCTGCAGTTTAGTTCTGTTCTTTCATTTGGGCCATGTTTCTTTGGCTCCTCATTTTGGCAGCCTCCCCATGTTTGTTTCTCTGTATTAGGCAGAGCTTCTATGTCTTCCAAGCTTCCCAGAGTGGTCTAACATAGTAGGAGTTCTGTAGGGTTCCATGGGTTCCCCAGTCACCCAAGCTGGGAAACCAAGGTACACAATTCCTCCACACACACTTTGGGCTGTATACACCCTTCTCTTGTAGTTCAGCTTTGATAGCTGTTGGTACATCAATGGGAGAGATTTACCCCCAGGCTGATCAGCTACAAGGACTGGCTGCAACTACCAACCAGACCACTGACCACTGACTTCAACCACCATGGAGAATCAGCTACACAGAGACCCACCTCACAGAGCAGGACTTACTTCAACAGTCCACCCCTTGAGTGTGTCTCTTGTGGAGGTGGTTGGGTGGTGATGCTTCAACATGGTCTGAAGTTGTCCACTGGATGCACTGGCTCTGGGGCCTCCTGGAAGGTACAGGCCAAGATCAGCCACCATCTGTGTTCTACTCAGAGTCACCCAGCATGAGCTACATAGTGATCTGCAGTTGCTTGGGTTTTTTTTGCTAGGCTTGGAGGTGCCCAGGTGAGGCCAAGCTGTGAACCAAGGCCAGCTGTTGCTAGTGCTGTGCCTGGGGCCACCTTAGCAAAAGGTACAGGAAATGCTGAGGCCAGATGCTGCTTGTTTGAGAAATTTTAGGAAAATCTGAAGCATGGGCCAAGACAGGCCAGTAGAATAGAAAAGCCACTGGAAACAGCTTGCGTGGGCCTGAAGGTTGGGTGGTGCAGAGCCTCAGGAAATCACCAGGGCAGGGCAGACAGTGTGAGTCAGGTGGATGGAATCTCAGATATGACACCCACCTGCAAGTTTTGTGTAGGGAGGACCCATCAAAGGAACAATGGCCTCTGCCAGCACTTCTGTCTGGGAGAAAGCTGTCCCTCTTGCTCTTGCCCTGATGCCAGACAATTCAGTTCCTCCCTGTATGTTTCTGTTGCTTTTCAAGGTGCAGGAGGTCAGAGGGAGTGAGTCAGAGTAAGTATGTTCATGGGCCCTTTAGAGAAACTGCCTGGGAGTCAAGCAGCCCTTCCTTCCCTTCGGCCTCAATCCCTGCTGGTTTTCACAGCCAAAAGTTATGGGGCCTTCTCTTCCTAGCACTGGAACTCTGGGTTGGGGACCTGGTGTGGGGCTGGGCTCCCTTGCTCCTCAGGGGGAACCTCTGCAACTAAGGTACCCCTTCCAATTACTATTCACCACATGTGAGTGTGAGACCAGCCCCATTCTGCAACTCTACCCTTTCTACCAGTCTCCATGTGGCTTCTCTTTAATTTCCTAGTGGTAGGACTTCCATTCAGCTCGATTTCAGGTAGTTGTGAATGATGTTTGTTCTGTAGTTTATTTGTAGTTTATTTGTAATTTTGATGTGGTTGTGGGAGAAAGCGAGTACTGCATTTACCTACACAACCATGTTGCCTGGAACTGAAGGATGTCTTTTAAATTTTGGGGGAGTATTTAATAATTCCAATATTTTGATATTTTAATCTAGTCTAACTCTAGAAGAATATTTTAGGAACAAATATACTATTGTTTTAAAAACTATTTACTACCTGAAATTCAGAAATATTTTTTCTTTTATTAAATTTATGATGAATTAAATATACTTTTTACTGAAAATGTAACTGGTGGTGGAGTTTGAGCTAGAGAAAGAGGTAGGTACCACCTCTCTGCACAAGGAACTAGGTCTATTTAGCCCCCCACCCTCTGAGTTGTTAACTCGGATCATAAAATGGACTAATTATATTTTCAGGTCATTAAAGGGGACTGCAGTTACTTCCTAAACACCTAAGTTGCTTCCAGGAAATAACCACAGCACTGAGGGAACTTTGGCTCTAAAAAACAGTGCAGTTGTAATATGGTGAGAAAGAGTTCACCTTTCAGTTTAGTTAAATAAATGTTTTCATGGGAATTAGGCCTGGAGATGAAAGGGGAACCTCTGTAAACATCCTCGGGAAGACAAGGTTCCCATACAATTTATTTGTTGCTGTTTTTTTTAATTGGGATATAATTGACATATAACATTATATTAGTTTCAGGAGCACAATATAATGATTCAGTATATCTATACATTGCGAAATGATCACCACAGTGAGTCTAGTTAATTAACATCCATCACCACATGTGGTTTGCTTACTTGTTTGTTTAATTATGACCTATGAAGAGTCTTCTTCCAACTGTGATTGTCTGGTCCAGCTCTGAACATTGGGAATAAAGGATAACAGCATAAGTATAAGGGTCCTTACCTTTGGCTTGGAAACTCCTCCCATTAGACTAGTGGTTCTCCACCTGGGCCAAGCATCAGATCAAACAGAAGGGCTTTTCACAGATTCCTGGCCCCATTCCACACCTACTGTAAAAGAATCTCCAGGGGTGGGAAAAGAGCAGGCATATATTTTTAATAGCTCCCAGGTGATGCAGCTGCACAGCTGTAGTTATGTACCATGATACTAAACTGTAGAATTCTCAAAGGAAGTATGCTATCTTTCAGAGGCAGCAGGAACATTTAATGAAAGGAACACTAAAAACAGATAAATTTTCAAATTACTCACTTATGAGATAGATAGCAAAATTTACCTCTCTGAATACCAATTTCCTTAGGAAGTTAATACTACTTTTCTAAAAATCAATTTTCTCATCTATTAAAGGGAATTTTTAAAATGATATATATATATATATATATATATATTAGAAGCTATAGAATTTCACACACCATGGAGAAAGGTAAGGATATCTTACTCACTTCCTTGCCATGGGATGTGCTGGTCACTTTTTATAAGGGAAAAAAAAAACCCACACAAATGACCTGAATAGACACTTCTCCAAAGAGGACATACAGATGGCCAATAGACATATGAAAAAATGGTCAATGTCATTGATCATCAGAGAGATGCAAATTAACACAACAATGAGATATCACCTCACACCTGCTAGAATGGCTGTCATCAGTAAATCAACAAACAAGTGCTGGTGAGGATGTGGAGAAAAGGGGACCCTGAGGCACTACTGTGGAGAATGTGGACTGGTATGGCCACTGTGGAAAACAGTATGGAGTTTCCTAAAAAAATTAAAAATGAAACTGCCTTCTGACCCAGCAATCACTTCTGGAAATACATCTGAAGAAACCTGAAACCCTAATTTTAAAGTATATATGCACCCCTATGTTCATAGCAACATTATTTACCATAGCCAAGATCTGGAAACAGCCCAAGTGCCCATCAGTAAATGAGTGTACAAAAAAAAAAATGTGGTAGCTCCGACTGGTGTGGCACAGTGGGTTGGCATCATCCTGCAAACCAAAAGGTCACAGGTTCAATTCCAGGTTAGGGCATATGCCTGTGTTGTAGGCCAGGTCTTCAATTGGGGATGTGAAAGAGACAACTGATTGATGTTTTTCTCACATATCGATGTTCCTCTCTATCTCCCTCCTTTTCCGTCTTTCTAAAAATAAATAAATAAAATCTTTTTTAAAAAAAGCTGTGATACATTTACACAATGGAATACTACTTGGCCATAAAAAGGGGACAAATAGAGGCATAAGTAAACACACTTCACCTCCTTGTACAACTACAGCAAAAATTACAACTAGACTACAAAACAAATATCACCCAGATTCATCAGATAATTGAGCTGTATGGAAGTCCAACAACCAAGGATTTAAAGAAGCTATATCTATCCAGATGGGTCAGAGGGCAGAGATGCAGAGAAGTGCAGAAGGGCACAGAGGGCTGGACTGGGATGAGGAGGCAGAGAAGCACAGTGGTGCAGAGAGGTGGTAAAACAGGCCGTCCCACATTCACGTGTGGTGGATAAAAATCAGGAGGGATCCCAGCCCCAGATCAGACCACCCAGCCCAGGGTTCTAGTGCTCAGAAGATAAGTCCCCACACATTTTGGCTGTAAAAATTAGTAGGGGTTTGGAAGGCAGAAGACACTGCAGCATTCTCAGGAGACTCCTCTTAAAGGGCCTGCAAAGCCCTCAGAACTTATACAGACGCACCCCTCTGGGACTCAGCACCAGAGCAAGAACTGGAGGGGCACAAGTCACAGATGGGGAGAAAGTGAAGTGACTGGCAACAGGGTGAGTGCCGAGAGACAGCTTCCTCTTGGGCAAGTCTCCAGAGGACAGACAGCGGCATTGTCCCTGCTCCCAGCCCTCCCCCACACAGAGCCATGAAGTGGTAAAATGGGTTGCCCCACCCTTGCGATCACCTAAGTCTCCACCCAACACAATTTACAAGTTCACTTTTCTACAATAGGACACAATACTAATACAGGGAGTCAAAGCAACTCTACCTAATACACAGAAACAAACACAAAGAGGCTGTCAAATTGAGGAGACAAAGAAATATGGCCCAAATGGAAGAACAGAACAAAACTGCAGAAAAGAACTAAACCTGTGTACCAAAGTGTCCCCAGTATGATTTCTAGTCAGGTCATATGCCTGGGTTGTGGGCCAGGTCCCCAGTTGGGGGTGCATGAGAGGCAACTACACATTGATGTTTCTCTCCCTCTTTTTCACCCTCCCTTCCTCTCTCTCCAAAAATAAATAAATAAAATCTTTTTTAAAAGGAAGAAGTTGGATCCAAAGAGGACTACACCAAGACACAGCATAATTAAAATGCCAAAGGTTAAAGATAAAGAGAGAATCTTAAAAGCAGCAAGAGAAAAGCAGTTAGTTACCTACAGGGGGTTTCCCATAAGACTGTCAGCTGAATTCTCAAAAAAAACTTTGCAGGCTAGAAAGAACTAGCAAGAAATATTCAAAGCGATGAAAAGCAAGGACCTACAATCTAGATTATTCTATCCAGAAAAGTTATCATTTAGAATTGAAGGGAATAAAGTGCTTCCCAGACAAGGTAAAGCTAAAGGAGTTCATCATCATCAAGCAATTATTATATGGAGTGTTAAAGAGAAATGTATAAGCAAAAGATCAATGCTGTGAACATTAAAATGGCAATAGATTCACAACATTAAAAACAGAATCTTGAAAACAAACTAAGCAAACAAGCAGAACAGGAACAGAATCATAGATACGGAGATCATTTGAAGGGTTATCAGCTGGGAGGGGGAAGGGAGAGAATAATGGTAAAGGTGCAGGGATTTAGAAGCATAATTGGTAGGTAGAAAATAGACAGGGGATCAGTTAAGAACAGTACACGAAATGGAGTAGCCAAAGAACTTATACACATGACCCATGGATGTGTACTAAGCGGGGATTGCTGGAGAGAATGAAGGTACTGGGCAGAGAAGGGCAAAGACAGAAAAACTGGGACAACTGTAATAGCATAATGAATAAAATATATATAAAAAGAAGAAGTGAGAACCATTTGGACAAGGGACAGTAGTAGAAAAATAATTCACAGTTTACATTTTATTTACATTTTGAAATTATGTGGTAATATATTATTTTAAAATTTTTAATAAATCTATTTAAAATTAAATCATAGCCCTGGCTGGTGTAGCTCAGTGGACTGAGCATGGGCCTGCAAACCAAAGGGTCGCCAGTTCAATTCCCAGTCAGGGCACATGCCTGGGTTGTGGGCGAGGTTCCCCAGTAGGGAGCATGTGGGGGGCAACCACACATTGATGTTTTTCTCCCTCTCTTTCTCTTTCCCTTCCCCGCTCTCTAAAAATAAATAAATAAAATATTTTTTTAAAAATAATAAAACTGGACCCTTATCTCCATTCCATACAAAAATTAACTCAAAATAGATAAAAAATCTGAACATCAGAACTGACACCATAAAACTTTGAGAAGAAAATCCTCATGATACTTGATTTGGTAAAGATTTCTTGGATGTGTAACACCAAAAACACAGGCAACAAAAGCAGAAGCAAATCATACTACATCAAAATAAACAATTTTGGGGCATGAAGGAATACAAACAACAAACAGAAAAGGCAACCCAGGTAATGAAAGAAAATATCTGCAAGTCATATACCTAGTAAGTAGTTAAATTGAAAACATATAAATAACTTCCACAACTCAAAACAAAAACAAACAACCTGACTGAAGAATGAGCAAAGAATTTGAACAGATATTTCTCCAAAGAAGATATGCAAATGGCTAATAAGCACTCAAAAAGATGCTCAATGTCACTGACCATCAGGGAAATGCAAATCAAAACCACAATGAGGTATCACTTCACACCCATAAGGATAGCTATTATTTAAAAAAGAAAAACAGAATAAGTATTGGTGAGGATATGGAGAAATTGGAACCCTTGTGTACTGCTGAAGGGAATGTAAACTGGTGCAGCTGCTGTGGCAGTTCCTCAAAAAATGGAAACTAGAATTACTTTGTGATCCTGAACTCCACTTCTGGGTATGTACCCAAAAGAACCGAAAGCAGGAATACCAATAGATATTTGTACATCAGTGTTCATAGCAGCATTATTCACAATCACCAAAAAGATAGTACACTAGTCATGGTTCTCCAGAGAACCACAAGAGATACATATAGATGGTGGGAGGGAGGGAGGAAAGGATAGAGAGAGAAGAGGGGAAGGGGAGAGGAGGGGAGGGGAGAGAGAGATACCGAGTTTACAAATTGGCTCACGTGACTGTAGAAGCTGGCAAGTCCAAAATCTTCATGGTGAGCCCCTGGTGGAAACCCAGGAAGAGCTGATGCTACAGTTCAGGTCTGCTGACAGAATTCCCCCTTCTTCAAGGGAGATCAGTCTTTTTCTTTTATGGCCTTCAAATAATTGCATGAGGCCCACCCACATTACGGGGAGAGTAACTTGCTTTACTCAAAATCCAGTAATGTTAATCTCATCTAAAAAAACACTGTCAGAAATATTTAGAATAATTTTGACCAAATATCCGGGTGCTGTGGGTTAGCCAAACTGACAAAACAAATTAATCATCACAGATGAAAATAACCCAAATGTCCATCAGCTGATTAATGGATAAACAAAATGTGGTATACATTCATATATTCAAATAATATATTAATATTATCCGGCCTTAAAAATTACAGTCAAGTACCACATAATGATATTTCCATCAACAAGGAACGACATACGTGACAGTGGCCTCATAAGGTTAAAACGGATTATAAGCAAAAAGTTATTGGTATGTTGAAAGAAAAGGCTGCATCCGACTAAGCTATTGAGCTTACTGCTAGTGCTGGGTGTTTAATGGATGAGGAGGCTCAGCATGTTGTCTGTTAGTCCTGTGCCCAACCCATGGCTGGGGCCCAGAGTTGGGAGGGAGCAGGAGGAGAGCTCTAAGGAGGAGGGGAGCCTGGCACAAACACGCACAGCTGCACACTGTGCATGCAAACTCACTTCCTTTCCTCAGTTTCTCTTTATTTCTCTTTTTTCCCAGGCCTGTTCTCTCTCCCTCCTTCTCTCACCCACTCTCCTACCCCTTTCCCCTTTATTATTTCCTGTCTCAAGCTTTACCTTTATGGTTCTCTTCTCACCTCTGCTGTTCCTTTCTCTCCCCTTCTCTTCTTTCCCTCTCTCACATCCTCCCTCAGAAGGAGCCTCCCTCCAGAGCCTTCCTCCTGCCCCCTGCACCCCATAGGCATGCTCACAACACACACACTTTATCTTCCACATCACATTTTGACTATGCCTTGTCTATGTTCAAATACACAAATACTTATCATTGTGTTTCAGTTGCCCACAGTATTCAGCACAGTAACATGCTGTAGAGATTTGTAGCCTAGAAGCAATAAATAGGCTACACCACATAGGCTAGGTGTAGAGTAGGCTATCTTCCAGGTTTGTGTAAGTGCACTGTGATGTCTGAACAAGGACGAAATTGCCTAAGGACACATTTCTCAGAATGTATCCCCATCATTAAGCAATGCATGACTAATGAAATTCTGGCACATGATACAATAGAGATGAACCTTGAAAACCTTAAGCTAAGTGAAATAAGTCAGTTATAAAAGGGCAAATAATATATAAACTCCAGTCATATTAGATACATAGAGTAGTGAAATTCAAAGAAACAGAAAGTAGAATGGTGGTTATCAGAGGCTGACAGCAGTGTAATGGAGAGTTATTATTTATGGGTGTGGAGTTTCAATTGATGAAAAAATTCTGAAGGTGGATAGTGGTGAGGGTCGCTCAACAGTGTGAGTGTACTTAATACCACTGAACTATACAATTAGAAATGGCTACAATGGCATATTTTATGTCATACTTTACCACAATACAAAAATGAATTGCTTACAAGTATAGGCTTTACTAAAATTCAGACACTGTGCTAAATGACTTAAATTGATTTTTTCATTTAATGCCTATTATTTTTAAAAAAGAATAAGTGTTGGTGAGGGTGTGGAGAAATTGGAACCCTTGGGCATTGCTGAAGGGAATGTAAACTGATACAGGGTTTTTGCAGTCAAAAAATAGCCTCCTAGAAAAAGTGACTTGCTCAAGATACAGTAGTAGGAAGCAGATTTGGAATTGAAACTCTCACTGTCTGACTCCCATGTCTACATGGTTAGTCAGTGTGTTATACTAAAAAGAATGACTACATTAAGATAATGAGATAAAAAGCAAATTAAAATATTTATCAAATGATATTTTAAGTTGAATCAATACATTAAAAATGTATATAGTGAATTCCCACAGTGATGTGCAGTCCAGACTGGATTTTTATTATTTTGACTGACAATAGGACACCTCAAATTGCTCAACATTGACCTTCACCATGAAGTTCTCATCTCAAAACCACAGCATCTCCCAAATTCAGACTAGAAGCCAGAATGCCTGAGAAATAATGGCAGAATATATACCTGCTATTGCCCCATTTTCCCATAAGCCTTGGAACATTTTATACTCCCAATTTTTAAATAAAAACACTGTGGTCTCATTTATATTTTTAAATTATATTTATGTTTAGCTCTAGACCTGTGGGTGGACTCTTAGAGAAGGATGGGAAGGACACCTATCAAACTGTTAACAAAAGTTACCTCTGGAGAGAGTAGTAGAATGGGAAGAAAACAGGGAAATACAAGGGAAACCATTACTTTGACTTTTACACAGTCTGTTTCAGTTTTTCAAAGAAGACAACCAACCAACTGACATTTATTCAATGTGTACTTTTAAGTCCAGGACTATGGCGGTTCTGTTGAAACGAGATGAAGACAGAGTGCTTGCCTGCAATGAGCTCCATGTAATAAACAGATAAAATGTCTGGTGTCTCCGTGTGCAGCACATCCAGGGAACTTTTACCAACTTGATTCTCCAAATGTTCCCTGCCCCTTCAACGAACCTTCTTCCATGGACTCCTTGACTGCCACAACAGCAAATAAGTGCAGCCCTATCATATTGAATGTAAGGCAGTATAGACTAGCGGTAAGGCTTGGTTGGGCTCTTGTGTTACACTGTCTGAGTCTGCATCTGCTATTTGTTCACTATGTGACTTTGGGCAAGTTTCTTAATGTGCCTGTGCCTCTGTCTTAGCTAACCCTCACAGGGCTGTTGAGAGCTTTATATAAGGTAAGACATGTAAAGCATTTATCTTTTTATTGTTTTAAGATTTTGTTTATTTTGGGGGGGAGGAGGGAGACAGAGAGGGAGAGAAACATTGACATGAGAGAGAAACATCAATGGGTTGTCTCCTATGCACCCCACTGGGGATCAAATCTGCAGCCCACGTGTGTGCATGACTGGGAGTTGAACTAGCAACCTTCTGCTTTGTGGAATGATGCCCAACCAACTGAGCAACACAGGTCAGGACTATGTAAAGCATTTAGAACAATGTCTGCTTATGTATTAAGTGGTCAGAAAAATATTAGCCACAGATGCATCCAATAGCCATCTACTAGCAACAGACTGTCCAGGGATGGTGGGGGAGAAGAATAAAAGATCATCCAAGGAAGAAGGGACTTTAGAGATAATTTTGCAAATGATGGCACAGAGAGAGCCATAATGGCTTCGTGTCATGCCTGTGGTTATACAAGGGGGTCAGCAACAGTACCCAGATGCTGTCTGAAGTAGCTCAATGCCCAAAGGAAGAGAAAACAAGAGATCTTCAAACTCACTCTCCTCTTAGGTGCCTATTACAAGTCTTATGTACTCCAATAATTGTAAATTATAAAGTGACAACAGGTGAATAGGCATTTCTCTCAGTGGGATAAGAAAGAGCTATTCTGCACACAAGGCAGTGGAGACGTGCAACAACCACCCATGTCAAAGACTGTAGGGTGTGGCCTGTTTTCTGAAAAGTAGCCTGGGTAATAGCCCAGAATGCCAGACACTTCAGCAGAGCTCCAAGACAGACACCACAGAATGAGTCCAAAAGTGGGGTCCAGACTCACTGGTCCATCCTGCCCATGGAGGCTGCAGGCCCTGAAGGCAGGTCACAGAAGCAAGAGAGAAGATAGGGAAGGTATGCTAGGCACAAGGTGGAGACCAGACTCCAGAGATAGATGATTCCAGAAACACTTCCACTATGTAACTGCTGCCAGCTTAGCTTGCCATCCCCCACCAATCTACCTCTCAAGTCTCTCCTTCCCTATCAGGCTCTCTACACCATCCTCCCACTACTCCCACCTTTCCAACCTTGCTGCTCACTAACTCCTCACAGATTGTCCTGCATTACAATTCAGTGTCCACGTAGATTCACACTTTCCAGCCTCTTCCTCCTAAAATGCCTGCCACCTGCTCTTGTTCTATGATCCCTTTCCTTTTCATTAAAACTATTGGGCAAAATTTTTCCCCAGAAATTCTAACCTTCCCACAAAGCCATCCTACAATAAGAAGTCATCTTTCCATCCTCTGCACTCTCAGAACCTTCTCAATCTTTCTAAGGCACTTGATAGATTCTGCCTCACTCCCTTCTCTAGACTCCCTCCTTTACAACCTTTTAAAGAGCATCATTAACAACTAGTCAGCACTACTAGTTGCTAGTGCAGAGGTCAGAATGGTGGCTGGGAAAACTGATGTGCAACAGGGGGAGTGGGAAGGAAGGCAATGAAGAGTGAGTACAAGAGCAAAGACTTATTCCGTGCCAGAATTCTTCTAAGTGTTTAAAGTATGTTAACTCAATTAGTCCTCAAGACAACCCCATGAGGTAGGTGCTATTATCTTCACATTACCAGGCTGAGGTGAAACTGAGGCAAAGATGGACTGAGTAAATTGCCCAATGTCACACAGCTGGGTTGTGAATTGAACAGGGTCAGCTGGCTCTTTATATTGTTTCTCTGCAATACTGTTCCTTCTAACCCTACACCCCTGAAAAACACTTCAACTGTTCCACCCATTGTATGGATTGCCTTTCTGAATCGAAAAGACATCCTGCTACTTGCAATTATGGCACCAAATTCCCACCTACTGCTTTCTAAGCCAGAAATTAAAGGTCAGTTCTGACCAGATATGCCATGATAGTAAAAAAATATATGATAAATTCTCAAATCCAAAACATTGCTTAAACAGAGATAATTATAGATGTTTCAAATGAAATAGGCCTCACACCATTCAGTTAGCTCAATATTTGCCATCATTTCCATCCTGAAATATATACCAGAACCATCTGCAAGCATACACATCTGAAGATCGCTCTAAATATCATTTTGATAGAATTATGGGATTAATACACAGTTACAGTATAACATTATTGATATATACAAATTGTCTGCCACAGGTTTAAGATTTTTTTTAACAATCGGAAAGATATCTGGGCCTCCCACTGTAGATAGGAGAATATAGAAAAGACACATTTGCATTACAATTGCTTTCAAATGTAAGTGAAACTGCAATTACCTATATGAGGTTATAAATAATTTAATATTAAACATCCTATTAACAGAAGCAAAAGTTTTGTTAATTCTGAATAAGCCCGATAATTTTCTTAATCTCCTGTCAAAACAGTCAGAGAGAGGAGGATGTATAAAGATTTCAGCTTTACAAATGTATAGTCTGTTTTCACAGAAAGAACATAGAAAAAAATTAATTTATCAGTAAGTTCAACTTTGAATTTAGGACTTCACAACAGGATATCAGTTAAATTTCTACTCAAAGGAAATTTTAAAATAGCATACAGCTGAACAAAAAGTTAAATTCAAATTTAGCAAAGCAGAAGAAAAGGAAGCCAAGGCTCTGTGCAGTTTATGGCAGCAAGCGATATATTTTTCTTTCCCTGATGAAGAGAAGACTAATGAGAACAGCAGAAAGGCTCAGAACAGAGATCACAGCGCGAGAAAACGATATTCAACACGTATCCAAAACTTACCCAAAGCGATCTGTTTACTCAACACTTTATTTTTCCCACTTTGCCCGTTTAAATCAGACAGCGGCTGAGTTTTTGTTGTTGCTGTTTCTGTTCTTTTGATCCCAAAGCCCCATGAAAATTAAACTGTGTGTTGGATGGGATCTGGCACCGTCTTGCATTAGAGGGGGAAAAAGTTTTAAACTTGGATCTTTGGTTGCTTCTTTGGGAAAAATGAATAAATAAATAATAAGTGGCTAGAAGGAGAAGACGTGGGGTACGTGCTCAGCTGACGTCGGGCCCGCGACTGGGCTGCACAGTGCTCAGCGCAGCTGTCCAGATGTGCCTCATCTGGTTCCCCCGCGGGGCTCGAATCTCAGCCGCCGCGGTTACCCCAAGCTCCAGCTCATTGGTAGCCGCGGTTCCTAGCTTGCTGCCTATTGGCCCGTCGGCCCGCCACTCCGGCAGGCCTGGGGCCCGCCCCCGCCCTCCGGGCCCGCTCCCTTCATCCTCTTAAGGAACCTGGAAGTGCAGCGCGCTGATGTGGCACTCGGAGGCGGCCAGCGAACCTGAAAGGGGCCTGGGACCCAGAGGGGGCTCCTCGGCATCCAGGCCCCTGCTAATGCTCCTCCGTTCAGACAGTTAGGCGGATTTAAACAGGATGATTGCAATGTATTCTTAAGATGAAATTAAGGCGCGACCCGCGCTCCCAGTGGAAGGCACTCGGGCTCCGGGATGCCCACGTCCCCTAAAGGGCATGCAGGCCAGGCCTCAGGACTTCATTCTCTCCACTTTCCCCAGGGGGCAAATTTTAAAATTCAAGAGCCTGTTCCTTGAGGACAGTGCTTTTTTTGTGGGCTGAAAAGCCTTAATGAATCCTTCGTTGAAGTCGTTATTAACCAGAAGGTGGCTGTTACCTGCGGAGAGAAGCCTAGGGTTGGTGACAGGGGTGCTTTGGTTAGTTTTTTGTTTTTGTTGTTGAATGCTGGAAAAAAAGAAATGTTGCTTGTTTCTGTGAGAAATTAGACGGGAGGAGGAGTGAGATTTGCTAAGCAATTTGCCTTGTAACTTAAAGATGTTGACAGAAATGTGACCTCAGTGAAATATTAAGATAGCAAGAGCCACACTCATTTGGCCACAGACATTGAAAAATGCCAGGTTCAGTACTAAACAGCTTGACCCACGTTATCGTATTTAATTCTTACAACCAACGTATGAAGTAGATATTACAATTATCTTCATTTTCAGATGATGCTACCAAGACACTGAGAAGACTCAGCATATAACTGAGGTCTCCAATATGTGTTTGCAGCACTGCACCATGTGGACATAAACCTATATGCCATTTGCCAGGAGTGGATGGGTCATTAGTGTGAGTGCCTCTCACCACATAGATGATGTCCTCTTGGTTGGTATATTTGTTATCTATTGCTATAATAGGTTACCACAAATTTAGTAGCTTGAAATACCACACATTTATTATTGCACAGTTTCTGACAGTCCAAGCATGGTTTAAGTGAATCCTCAGCTCAGGGTCTCACAAGGCTGCAGTCAAGGTGTTGTCCTGGATGTATTCTGTGAACAGAAAGGGGCTACCTTCGAAACTCGACAAGCTCAGGGGTGACCTGCATGACAGCTTTACAAACTTAGAAACCAAAAGTAACCACATAGGAAGGTCTGAAATGAAAAACTTATTAACTAAAAGCAGGTCGTGGTGGTCAGTCATTGTCCTAGGCTAGAATCTTCCCTGTCAAAAGTCAATCTTCAACTTAAGTGAGCCTGTCTATTGTCTTTGGGCATCTATGATAACATACCTTTGGAATGTCAAGGTAACTTCCCTTTTCCCAAACCCTTTAGGCATAACCACCAGAGCAGAGACTACAAATCCCCTCATCGTTATTGTTACTGTGTTAATTGTTGACTGTTAACTATCCTGTGCCCACCTGTGTAAAAGAAATATGTGCCTATCACTTCACTTTTTATCCTGTCCCAGGTCACCCACTTCGCTTTTTCCCACCTCCCTAGTCTATCACCAGTAGATTTCATGTAACCCCCTTATGCCTTCTCTTTGATTGTAATATATGAAATAAGGTGCAAAACTGCCATTTTCTGGATCATTTTCTCAATTCGTTGAGGGTTTGCTTCCCAGCAATTGTCATCAGTTTGGTTCAAATTAACTCATAAAAATTCTTACATATTTGGATGTTTCTTATGTTGATAATTCTCACCTGGAGGCTTGATTGGGGAAGAATCTACTTTCAAGCTCCCTCAGTTTGCTGGCAGGATTAATTTCTTTGCAGCTGTAGAGCCAAGTCCCCTGTTTCTTCTGGGATGTCGGCTAGCTGCCCTGACTCCCTAGACTTTACTCTTAGCTCCTGCATGTCATAACAGCCAGGAAGTGGAGGTCATGGGGGGCTACCGTGGGGTATGTCTGCCACAGAGGGCTAGTCAGACACTTTAATCTCTATCATCCCGAATGCAATGTTATCACATCTCCACAAGCACTCCAAAAATTCAAGGCCCTGCTTACCAAGTAAACTGACTGTCAATGAAACCCACAAGGAAAGGTTGGCCCTTGAAATCAATCAAAAGCTTGCTTTTCCAAAACATTTGTAATCTGATGAGAGTGCACATTTTACCACAATGGGCTGATAGTCAAGGTATATGGTCAAACTTCTAAGCTCATTACCATTGATAGGCATCTGATATTTGACCATTAGAACAACTTCCTCAAAAATCTACTAAAGAAGTAAGTTGAGTGGGGTGGAACCTCTGTGGATCTCCAAGGTGGGTCACACAGTGTTAGCCAGGTTGATGGAGTTTCAGATGTGGCACAAGCCTACCTGCTCTGTGCAGGGAGGGCTCAACAAAGGGACAATGGCCTCTGCTCACCTTGAGCCTGACATTTCAGTCTCTCCCTGAATACCACTGGTGTCCTTCAAGCTGCCATCGAGGTACAGGAGCTGAGAGGGAGTGTCTGAGTAGGAAATCTGGGTGATCACAGAGCTGGAGAGAAAAGGCTGTTGTCCGCCCTCACTGCTGAACACCACAGAGTTTGATCCTTCCAATCAGGAAGGTCAGAAGGCTCTGATGTCATCGGTTATTCCAACCAGGCAACTAGTCTGAAAGACTCAAACATGTGTGTAACCTACATATATGTAACTGCCATACATACATGTAACTGTCATGTGTGCACTTCTCCTGGAGACCAGGGGTAAACAGTATCTCCTGCTACTGACCCAACAACCTCAGACCAGCCTCCAGAACTGTCCTCACATGTCAGCATTGTCCTTTACCTCCTCCCCAGCAGCCACTCTATTCTCTCCATTCTGAACTTGAACTCCCCTAAATGTCAGGATGTCTTCTTTGCCATTCCTATTTCAGAGTGGAGGCTGGTGGGAGAGGGAGGTAAGGGTGACAAGGACATTTAGGGGAAGCAGACATGCTAAGACTTTGCAAGAGTGAGATAAAGGTGTGAAAAAGTTCCTGGGTACATGGACTTGTCAGATTAACAAGTTACTTTAAAACACTAAATGGTGCCCTGACCCCGGCATGGCTCAATTGGTTGAGCCATGACCCTCAAATCAAAAGTTTGCCAGTTCGATTCTCCGTCAGCGCAATGCCTGGGTTGCAGGCCAGTCCCCACATGGGGACCTGTGCAACTGATCATTGTTTCTCTCATACATCAATGTTTCTCTCCCTCTCTTCCTCCCTTCTCTCTTCCCGTCTCTTAAAAAAAAAAATCTACTAAAGAAAAATTTCTGGAGATTTTTGCTTGTAAAAACATAGAGTTGACATAATATTCCCTACTTCTTCTGTAAGTACAACCAAAAATCCTGGCTTTATATATATAAACAAACATAAGAAGAGGAAGATGACACACCAGCTAGGAATCTAGAGGCCTGGTGAATGGCACGATGGTTGTTAGGGTGGTTGGTGACGTGGGCTATGAAAGAATTCACAAAGAGAAGTGTGGAGAATAAAGTTTTTATTCACTCTCCAAGAAAGGAGAGGGACATGGGAAGAGATATATCAGCATTGAGGGTTGGGGGCTTTGAGCTTTCATTGGATTATAATTTGGTTTAAAAAGGGTGGGGATGCTGTGGCGTGGCCCCTGGGCTCTTGGGGCGTTGTAACACAGGCTGCGGCTTGTTCAATGTTATCTTCCACCTGTGGCTGTGGGGAGCCGTTAGTTCTGTCCTTGCCTTGCAGTAATTTCCAGTCTTGGTGACATAAGCTCAGAAGAGTAAAATGACAGCCATGCTTAACAAGATCATAGGCCAGCTGAGCAAATGGTGCCACCATAGCAAATGGTGCTGGCTTTGTCCTTTCGATGGTGTGTTTTCTGGGTTTTCTTTTGGTCTCACTGACAAGGAGCCCAACGAAAGCTGATTCTGCCTAGCCGAAGGCCCAGGAAAGGGGAGCCTAAAACAACAACAAAAAGTTTAGCTAGGAAAGGCCCAACAGCACAAAAAAATAAAATAAAATAAAATAAAATAAAATAAAATAAAATAAAATAAACCGATGCTCCATCCACACCCACACCAGCAAAAGCCAAGCAAAGAGCCTAGACTTCCACCCTCACAAGACCATAACAAGTGAAAACAAAGAGCTACATTTTGCAAAGTCGATATAATTGGCAAGCCACTAGCACAACTGACAAAGAAATAGAGAAGACACAAATTACCAATGTCAGGAATGAAACAGACCCTTGCAGACATCTAAAAGAAAAGAAAACAACACACATAAATATGATTTAAGGGATGAGAGGGTTGGCTGGGCTGGGCTGGGAGTAAAAGGCAGAAAACTGTACTTGAACAACAATTAAAATAAAATAAAAAGTATATATGATTTAAGTGAAATGGATGAATTTCTTGAAAAAGACAAGTTACCACAAGTCATATGAAATCAATAATTTGAATATCCATGGAAATATTAAGGAAATTTAATTCATACTTTAAATACTACCATATTTTACATACAAAATCTCTAGGCCCAAGTGGGTCTTACTGGAGAACTCTACCAAATGTTTAAAGAAGAATTAACACTAATTCTATGTAATCTCTTCCAGAAAATAAAAGAAAGAATACTTACAATTCACTTTGTGAAGACATTGTAACTCTGATATACAATCAAACAAACACAGCACACACACACACACACACACAAAAGAAAACTACGTACTAATATCCTTCCTAATATGGCAATAAAATCCTTAACAAAATATTAGCAAATAGAATTCTGCAATACAAAAAATTATACATCATGACCAAGTGGGTTTTTTCCAGGGTTGTAAGGCTTGTTCAATATTCAAAAATCAATCGATATATGATATTAACAGCCTACAGAAGAAAAACCACACACAAACATATCAATCGATGTAGAACAAGCATTCGACAAAATTCAGCATCATAAAAATGCTCAGAAAAATAGGAATAGAGAGATTTTCCTAATTTGGTAAAGAACACCTAAAAAAGCCCTACAATTAACATTTCATCTAATGAAAGACTAGATGCTTTCCATACATACTCTGTGATTCTACTTATATAACTTCCCTGCACTGATGAAATTATAGAAATGGGGCAGATTCCTAGTTCCTGGGGGTTAAGGAGGTGGAGGGGTGGGAGGAAAATAAGTGTGGCTGTGAAAGGGCAACACAAGGGACCCCTGTGGCGATGGAAACGCTCCACACCCTGGCTGTATCTGTGGGATATTGCTGGGACTGTGTGCTATAGTCCTGCAAACTGTTACCATCAGAGAAGGTTAGCGAAAGGGCATGTAATGCATCTCTGTGTTATTTTTTACAATTGTATGTGCACCTACCATTATCTCAAAATTAAAAGTTTAATTTCAAAAAAGATATCTGACTCTCCCTCATCTCCTTCTGGTCCATGGAACTTAGTAGAGCAGTTTGGTCACTGAAAGCAACTCTCTCCAGAAAGGAATAATCACCTCTCAGATAGTTTCTAGTAATGTTCAGGGGTAATTATCTCTCGGATGCTTTCTAGTAACGTCTGGATGAAAGGGGTGGAGGTTTATACAGGAGTATTTTGAAAATTTGGAATTCTGCCCTTATCATTCTCGGGCGTGATGTTCCATTCTTTTCCCTAATGGCAACTCACAAGGCCAGCTGGGTTGGTGCACCCTCCTCGGGGCAGCCCAGCCCAAAGGAGACTTAAGGATTCAAGATTAATTCTAGTTCAGTCACCTGCATTCTCTTGTTGGATTGGCACTGTCCTACATCATAAAGTTAGCGAACACTTGGTTGAATATACTGCTCACTGAGTCCCCTAAGGTCCAAGTGGGAGGCGTAAGGGATCTCCGTGAGTTCTACAACAATGTGCTTGTCCTTCTTGCACCTCACCCTCTGGACTAAACGGGGTGTGAATAGAGGATGACTGGGAAAGAGATGAGGTTATAGCTACTGGGACAAACACACTCATTTTGTAGAGGTGAGGGGAGATCAATAACCCTGGCATCTGAGGAAGGACACTGGAAACCCTGGGACATATGAAGGAGTGGGAAGAACATTAATCATATTTTATCTTCCATAACTTCCCCGGGAGCCTTTGTTCCAAGGAAAATGCCTTGATACAACTCTCTCAAACTGCCACAAGCATCTTAGATGACACTGTGGGTCTGTCATCCCCTGCCAGACGACTCACACCACAATTTGATAGCCATTCCCCTTAACCTTACCAAAAAGTCTATCGGAAACAGCAAAAGACAGCTCCAGCTCCTGTACCTTGCCCACAGAACACCTGTCAACACCTCTGAATGTTTTATTTACTCCCATTCTCAGTCATCCCACAGGGTAAAAAAAAAAAAGATATCACTCAGCTAGTGGTATAGACAAACAAGAGAGGTTGGACTAACTACCTTCAGGTATTCCAGAAACAAGGACTAACCTCAATTATTCTAACTTAACTTGGAACCCTAAGGCTTACCAACTAGCCAGGAGACCACACTGGAGGCACTGTCATCAATCCGTGCCCTCCCAAGGTACAAAATAGACAGGGAGGTTAAGAATAGTATAGGGAATGGAGAAGCCAGAAAACATACATGTATGACCCATGGACATGAACTAAGTGGTGGTGGGAAGGGCAACTCTGGAGGGAGTAAGGGTGCAGGGTGGAGGGGGATAAAGGGGAGAAAAATGGGACAACTGTAATAGCACAATCAACAAAGTATACTTAAAAAAATCTGTGCCCTCCCAATCCCCACTCATGCAGACTTTCCTGAGCAGCCCCAACAATTGTCAACACCCTGGTCTTTCCAGGACACCATGTCTGTCCCCAAGAGGTTCATTCTTAAAATGAGAGCCAGGCATTAACTTGTCTCCCTCCCCAAAACATATTGAGTTAGATGTTAGGAATGGTCATAAGAGACATACAAGTGTTTAAACAAGCACTACCAGCAGATCGTGTAAGGTCTCTTGTAGAGCTCTCAGATCACAATGATCTCATAAAAACTACCCTTGGTTACCTGGAAAAGCTTTCCAGGGGCACGGGTGGCTCATCACTTATGCACACCCAGCTGACAGTTTTTCCTGCAACCAGAGTCATCAACTTAGAAAAGATGGTGCAAATTTACTCCATGCTTTAGCTGAAGTGATTAATTGGTCTTCAGAGGCATTTCAGTCAGCCTCAACTCACTGTCCGACTCAAGAATGTTTGCAGAGCAAACAGCCTTGGAAAACAGAGATAATGTCTCCTTCCAGAACAGAGGGCATCTTTGTTTAATAATAAAAATAATGTCTCCTTCCAGGACAGCATTAGAAAAAGTTTGCTTGTAACCTATTATATAATATTGGGATGTTCTAGGCTCAGAAACTTTGTGTTCAAGCATCAACTGTCTCTCATTCTGTACAATTTGGGGTTCTGAGAAACAACTCAAATGGTGATATTCTGGCTATCATTACTGTGAGTAATACACTGTCCTTTGTCTCTCACCCAGGAGTTTCATGTTCTTTGTCATCATCCATGACACTGTGGCAGACTAACTTGTTAGTTGATGTGTATGGTAAAATCTCAGAATCTTCACAGTTCTTGGTAGGAGTACCATGGTCTCCTAGCCATTACCAGAGATTCCTGCTAGGCAGAGCTCTGTGATTGCTACTCTGGCCTTATTTCTGCTTTACAGTCATTAAATCCACACTTGATTCTGAGAGTAAGTGTTCCACCTGAACTCTCACATTCTAAAATCCTATCATCACTTTCAGGGAGCCCAGCATTGTGGCAGCATGTCCTGCCATCACCCCAGCCTACGGTGGACAACCACCACTGCTCAAAGACGTGAGGTGCCCCCACCCCCTAACTAGTGAATTCCTGATGCGTTAATAAATGAAGTGTCCCCAGGTCCCTGTTGGGTGACATGATCAAAGGACATGCTCTCTTGTGTCTCACAACAAATCCACTCTAATTCCCAACGTCCCAAGCCCTCTGGTCCTTTCCTTAAAACTCTACCAAGGTAGTTCTGGCATTTCCAACTCTTTCATTATAAGTTTTGCCCAAGCTTCAAGGAGCCAAAGTGTCCTTACCAGGTCATTAAATTCTAAATCATGAGAATGCTACCATGTCAATAAACTCTTCCCTATCTGGTCTTCCATTCCAACCCATGTGCTCTAATGTTCACAAATGTCCTTCTTGTTTCTGCTAGTTCATAGTAGCCAGGTCCTATAATTCTTTGGGGAAGCAAGTTTTTTGATCTGGGTGGTGAAACTGGATTTCTCCACCTGGGCAATTGGTCTAGAGGCAGTGGGGTAGAGTGGGGCAAACCTTAAGGTGGATGAACATTGCCCTGTGAAGAAGCCACCTCAAGGAGTCTGTCATGGTTACAGGCAAAGTGAGACTACTCTCCTCTAACAAAGAAAAGCAACTGCTTCTGCCAATCTCAAGGTTTTAGGGAAATCTGGGAGGTCAAGATTCTCTCACAAATCAGATTGCAATTACAGTGCTTCATTTTGTGGAAGTACTGTCATTATCCTACTGAAGGAAAATTTTGTGTTAATCATTTTTGGTTTTGCCTTCTGGAGGGTAAAATCATGATGGACTGACATGGACAATTCTGAAAAAAAAAAAAAAAAGATTCTCTGGCACATCTGCTCGAATATCTCCATCACAGGTCTCAGAGTCCCACTTCCTTTTCAGGGCTCTGGCAGAGGAGACATACCAAAGTTACTTGTTCAGTGTCCTTGGCAGCTCCGCTACATTTTCTCTTAAATCACTGGCTTCATCACCAGAACCCTGATGATCCCTGCAACTGATAATTCTCTTTAAACACTGCCTTTGAGGCTTTCTGGCTTTCACAGCCTGGGTCTGGTTTATAGTTGGCTGAACTGAATCTGTCATTCTCTTCTTTAAGGCATTTTAGGCAATTAACAAAAGCCTGCCAATTCATATAATCTATTCTCTTAATACTGTTTTTGGTCCTTTGCATAATTCAGTGTTTACTCTTCTATTTGTCTCTCATCCCAATGCATGAAAGGTGAGAATCTGAGTTAACTGTGATGATAGAGTATGCCAGAAGTTATCCCTGCCCCTCGTCCACAGCAAAGGGATCCTTGGTGTCATTGCACCAGTAAGTGGTCTGATTCGAGAGCCCTATCTGAATTATTAGTTTCCCATACTACTTTCAGTAACATGCCTTAGTTTAGGTTCAATCTTCTCCCCTGACCCCATGCAAGAAGGAAGGAAGGAAGGAAGGAAGGAAGGAAGGAAGGAAGGAAGGAAGGAAGGAAGGGAGGAAGGAAGGGAGGAAGGGAGGAAGGGAGGAAGGAAGGAAGGAAGGAAGGAAGGAAGGAAGGAAGGGAGGAAGGGAGGAAGGAAGGAAGGAAGGAAGGAAGGAAGGAAGGAAGGAAGGAAGGAAGGAAGGAAGGAAGGAAGGGAGGAAGGAAGGAAGGAAGAGAGAGAAGAAGGAAAGAATCAGAGCCTGGGTAAGAATTCATATGCAAATATTTCACTTGCTAGTTGATTCCAAAAAGCAGAAGTGAGGGAGCCAAGAGAGCAGCAAGGAAGGAGGAAGAGCCACTAGTCGAATGTGTTACCTAGGTCACCACTGTGGGCCATAGAACCAGCATAGACAGGGACAACTTGAGAACCCTACAAAATGCTTCCCATAATTGTCCTCCTGAAGGATAGGGAGCTGGAGCATTTATTCACTAGCTCCTGTTCTCTACTGAACAGGAAGGAAAAAAAGAAAGAAGGAAGGAAGAAAAGAAGCAAGGAAGGGAGGAAGGAAATATGATGGCTTATATAATTTCTTAAAGGATTTAAGGCTTCTTCCAATAAATGAATATGAAAAAAAATCCTTAGTAAAGAAAGACTTGGACAAGCATTGCCAAAATATTAGTCACACTTATTTCTAGGTAACTGGGTTTGAGGTAGTTTTTTTATCTACTTCTTGTTTGCCTTCCAATTTTTCAAAAATCAACACGTATTATATTATACTTAAAAATAATGGTATTTTTAAATAAAATAATGGAATAAATCAATGGAATAAAATAGAAAGTCAAGAAATAGATTCACATGTACATATAATGACAATAGTTTGTCCACATCAATCTAACCTGTCAAGGGAATGGACTGGAATGAGCATTCCTGAACAATGACAACTTCACTGTACTAGTCAGTGGTGGTGGTAGACACTGTTGAGTGAGCATGTGTACTGTGTGGTCATCACATTCAAAATGACTGAGTGAGTAGAGCAATGAATCTGCATCAAATTTTGTGTTAAGCTTGAACATTCCCGTGTGGAAACTATTTAAATAATTCAGAAGTCTTTCAAGGGATGATGGAATGAGGGCAGCACAAATAAAAGTGTGGCACAGCTGCTTCAAAGATGGTCAAGAATCTGTTGAAAATGATTCATGTTCTGGAAGGCCTGCAACAAGCAGGACACCTGAGAGTGTTGAACATGTGTGGGCTGCAATCTACAAAGATAGGCAACTGACAGTGTGAGAACTAGAAGCTGATCTGGGGATTCCAAAAACTGCTGTGTTGGAGATTTTGATGCAGGATCTTGGTGTGAAACTGTTAGGTAAGATAGATAGCAAATGAAGGCAGGGAGGAAGAGGAATATGTGTCCCACCCTCTGACTCAGCAGTCCCTGAAATTCTATGTATCTTTTCCACTATCCGGGAAAGAAAGCCTTTGAAACTGTACTTTCATCCCAAGGCCTGAAAGGGCTGAAAGGGCCCATAGTGCCTAAAGGAAGAAGCCCATTAATACCTTTGGGTATTCACACCCCTGTCTTGGAAAGCTAGCACCACCTTTAACTGTCAATCAATATGTAACTTCTTCCCCTTCCCCCATCCTATCATCAATATAAGCCCTTAGAACAAAGAACTCAGGGGCTTGGAGTTTTTTGCTCTCTGGCTGCCCCACCAGGCTGCCCAGCTGGCCACAGGCCACATGGCTTTTGGCCACCCTTGCCTTCACACACCTTGCTTCACCCTGAACCTATGCCTTTCAGACCCTCTACCCCCACCCTAACTAACTCTTCCACGAGAACAGGTCACCAATAAACCCTGCTTGCACGCTAATAGACTTGCTGATCTCTAGTTCTTTATTGCATTAGCAAGAAGATCCGAGTTTCTGAGAGTTCCTCCCATAACAAAACATGTCGTGGCAAAATTCGTACTGCAGCTCCTGCCACCAGAGCAGAAGGAGCATGGTGCTGCAGTTGCTAATGACTTGATTCAAACCACTACCAGTGAATCAGATTTCCTCAAGAAGGTCACAACTGGAGATGAATCATGGGTCTTCAGCTACTATCCAGAAATGAAGGCCCAGTTGTCCAAATAGAAGTGGCCTGGTTCTTTTTGCCCAAAGAAAGCACAGCAAAGTCGTAGCAAGATCAAGACCATGTTAACTGTGTTTTTTGATTGGGACGGTGTTGTTCATCACAAGTACGCCCCTCCAGGCCAACCAATTAGTAAGGAGTGCTACTGCAATGTTTTTGAGGCTGAGAGATGCAACACAATGAAAATAGCCACAGCAATGGGTAACTGGTGATTGGCAGCTTCATCATCACAATGCACCCACTCATGCATCGCATTGTGCAGAGATATTTTTGCGAAACATCAAATCACGCAGGTGACTCAGACTCCCACTGCCCAGATTTGACATCCTGCAATTTCTGGCTTTTCCCAAACCTAAAATCACCTTTGAAAGGGAAGAGAGTTCAGACTATCTATAAGATTCAGGAAAATACAATGGGGCAGCCAGTGGAGACTGGGAGAACTGTGTGAAGCCCCAAGGTGTCTACTCTGAAGGGGACTGAGGTGTCATTGTCCTATGTACAATGTTTCTTGTACCTTGTGTCTTCTTCAATAGTGTCTCCATTTTTCATATTACATGGCTGGATACGTTCTGACAAAGGTGCAAAGAAAATTCATTGGAGAAAAGATAGAGTTTTCAGCAAATTGTTGGAACAATTGAGTATTCGTGTCACAAAAAAAAATTGTAAAACCCACCTCTGTCCATACTTAGCAATATATACAAAATTAACTCAAAATTTATCTTAGATCTACATGTAAAATCTAAAACTATACAACTTCTAAAATTCATATGAGAAAATCTTTTGTGACCTTGGGTTAGGTAAACATTTCTTAAATACACCATAAGCACAATCTATAAAAAATTGGTAAGTTGGATTTAAAATTAAGAACTTCTGCTTTTTTAAAATTAAAATCCTCACCCAAGGCAATGTTTATTGATTTGAGAGAAGGGGAAAGGGGAAGGGGAAAGAGAGAGAGAAATATCCATGTGAGAGAGAAACATCGATCAGTTGCTTTCTATTCACACCCCGACTGGAGATTGAACAGGATGTACAGGACAATGCTCCAACTAACTGAGCCACCAAGCCAGGGCAAGAACTTCTGCTTCTTAAAAAACACTATTAAAAGATTAAAAAGACAAGCTGTATACTGAGAAAGAATATTTGCAAATCACATGTCCGATAAGAACTTATATCCAGAATATATAAGAAATCAAAAAAATTTAAAAACTACTCAGCTTTCTCAAATGGGCAAAATATTTGAGGTCCTGAATGGGTAGGTGGTTAGAGCATTGTTCCAATACACCCAGGCTGCAGGTTCAATCTCTGGTCAGTGCACACACAAGAAACAACCAAAGAATGAACACATAAATAAGTGAAACAAATCTCCCTCTCTCCCTCAAGCCCTCTCTCTGTCTCTCTGAAAAGAAGTTGATAAAGTAAAAAATACATATTTGAACAGAATTAATAAAAATATATGTACTGATGTCAAATAAGGACCTGAAAATATACTCAATATTATTAGACATTCGGAAAATAGAAAATTGAAACTGCAGTTAAATACTACTACATACCTATTAAAAAGATTGCCAAACCAAGTGTTGTAAGGATGTGGAACAACTAGAATTCTCACATACTGCTGGTGGGATATAAAACAAGCACTTCAGAAAACAATTTGACACTTTCTTGAAAAGTTCAATATACACTTACCCTCTATGGCCCAGCCAGTCTATCTCTAAATAAATGAAAGCATATAGCCCCATGAAGACTAACAGTGTGTATCAGCAGCTTAATTTGTAATAGCCAAGACCTGAAAACAACTCGAGTGTCCATCAGTAGATGGGTGCATTAACAGATCGTGGTGCCTCCATATAATACTACTCAGCCATAATCAACATGAACGAACCTCAGAATAATTAAGCAGAGTGAAAAGTCAGACAAAAAATTCATTCTGTGTGATTCCATATCTACAAATTTCTAGAAAATGTAAATTAATCTATAGTGGCAGAAAGTAGATTAGTGATTGTCTGGGGCAGGGTAGGAGAGTTATGGGAAGAAGAAGGAGGAAGGGCTTCCTAAAGAGCGTGAGTGTATACATGTGTCAAAATTTATTGAATTGGTAAGTTTTATGGTATGTATATTTAACTACAAATAAAAAGAAAAATTATCAAGTTGCTTTAATTATGAGCAATTTGTTATATGTCAAATTACCTTGATAAAGCTGTTTTAAAATGGTGTTTTTAAATAAAATAAGGACATAAAAACATCATTATGCAAATATATTTTAT